AAATGCTTATACTTTTCCGAACGATGTTTTTTCTAATAGTTAGTCTTCTAATGATACATAAGAGTTATTTCAAATTTTGTGAAAAAACCTTAGAGGAAAAAATTGACAGGTCGGTCTACATGGATCCTCTAACAACCTTGGCGTTCTACACATGATTTCGATTCTTATTACATCTACTATCTGTTGTCCTTTGAGTTTATTTGTCGAATATACGATAATTCCTTTCTGCCAATAGTGGCTTTGGTATCTGTCTATCTCTATCTAACAAAACTTTTGTCATATTTCAATTGAAATATTTGTGTCGTTGCTTCTAATCATGACGACCATATTCAGGTTTTCTGGACAGAACTAAGCCTTAAAATGTCGAGAGTTGTCCAAACACAAAGAGTAGAATATTTTCTTCATTTTCCAGATGAAAAAATAACAACAAAATCAACCCTGAAAAGATTTCGAGAAGTGCTTTTATGGTGTGGGGTATGAGTATGAGTGCTTATCTTTTTCTCATCCATACCCTAATTTGATGCTATTGAAAATAAAATTTCTAATAAAAATTTTTCTTTTTAGATCTTCAAACAACTGCAAATGGTATTCATCAAGATTTTAAATCTGCTCTTGATAAATATAATAAATATTAATATGAAAAACTTTTAACAACAAAACCAACTACATAGACATTTCCATTTATGGCTATTCGATTACAAAATCATACTTATATACGAGAGAAAATGATTGAAAATGGAAATAATGAACAATAAATGCGTTATCCAACTGAAGATATTCGGTTTAAAAATTAAACCACAATCACTAAATATTGTACCAATTTCTGTTATACAACAAATTCCTTTAGTTTCAAATGTTTATCAAGATGATAATGAACAATGTGAACAAACACTAATTACTCAATGTAAGTTAACGAAGCTAGATTAAGGCGTATGGATCAATTTCGACAGAAAAGCTCCAGAAATCGATGGAACTTGAAAATAGTATTCCAGGCCGAAATGTCATTGGTAATTTTCGGTCAAATTTCGGTGGGAAACGGCTGCAAGTCACCGAAAAAAATCCGAGGGCTTATTTTGAAATGGGCAATAGAACTATATAAAATTATATATATGTATTTATCATTTGAATTACTTTCTTCTAAATCAATTTCTTCTTAGTCTTCTAATGGTTGACTATCAGCGTTATCCATTTCTGAACCACTTTCTTCAACATGAAGATTATTATCATCACTTTCATCCTCAAACCAATTAACCTTCAAAAACGTATGTTTTGATCATTTGAACGATTTTATTCAAGTATAAATGAAAACCGCGGGGAAGAAAAAAAAAGGAAAACTTCATTTTTATTGTTTGAAAAATTTATTTTGAAACAATTGCAAAGAAAGTTGCACTTTTTGGCTTTTTAGTATAAAAAAGATAATTTTGCCTTCTTAAATTGTGCTTATTAGATGCAGGACATTTAAATCTACAAAGACAAAATAAATAATGAAAAAACTGAAAATTTTGAGTCGGAAAAGGGGAAGATCCCCTTAAAGTAAAGTTAATTACCATATATTTGGTGTGCATTGATTTGACGGAGAAAAGATGTCGAAAATGATATTAATGCAATTTGAATAGGTTATACGCATAGCATAACGATGATGAAGGTAACAAAGCTAGAATAGATGCATTTTTAATAATTTCCACTTCAACCTTTTTTTTTATTATAAGTGCTTTTTTTTCTTCGACCTTTTTTCTTTCCACTACATCAATATCAACCTTTTGATTACTTAACTACTATCGTTGCAATCATTCAAAAAGTAAATTTGTATTAATTGATTGCAGCGAACAACAATAGAAACCATCACTGGAATTAATCAACATATTAATAAAATTCTAATGGCATCTCAAGATGAAATTCATCATCATCATCAACATAACAATGTTCAATATACGAAACCATCTTTTGCTGTTCTACTAGCTGCGTTTTCTTCATTGGCTGGATGGTTTTTTGGATATGATCAAGGTGTTACTGGTGGTATTGTTGTCATGAGTTCATTTAAAAATGACTTTTGTATTGGTGTTTACGCCAATGCAAGTGTTTGCGATCTTCCAGTAGTTGCTTTGCCTGCCGATTACAGACGATTTATAGTACTCTTTACGTTATTGTATAATTTTGGATGTTTTATTGGTGCTATATTCATTTCTTCATTTGTGGCCGAAAAATATGGACGTCGAGCCATTATTTTCACTTCAGCAGTTCTATTTTTAATTGGCACTTCCATTGTTATTTTTCCATCAGGTGGTTCGAAAAAGATAATGATTTTGATACTTATTGGGCGAATTGTCGAAGGAGCAGGTGTTGGATGTTCTTCATTTTCTTGTCCATTATATGCTTCTGAAATAGCTCCAACAAATTTACGTGGAATGCTTTCTGGATTTATGCAAATGACTATAGTAGCCGGCTTATTTGCTGCAAATGTCGTAAATTTCTTAATCCAAGATCATAAATGGGGTTGGCGATTGTCAAATGGAATTATTTTAATCGCTCCAATTACAATTATGATCGGTATATTTTTCTGTCCTGAAACTCCTCGATGGTTATTCAAGAATAAGAGTAGAGAATCAGCAGAGAGAAGTTTACAACGTATTCGTAGAACAGATAATGTAACTGCTGAATTAGATGCTATTGCTGATGCTATACACAAAGAAGGCAACCAACGTTCGACCAAAGAACTATTTACAACAAAGAAAATGCTTCAAAGACTTAGTATAGGAATGGGCGTACATATTTTAGCACAAACATCAGGTATTAATGTTGTATTTACATTTGGTGGTATAATATATGAAAGTGTTCTTGGAAAGGGTATCATATCATTATTAGTTTTGTCTGGCGCACTTGTACTCAGCACATTTCCAGCCTTATTCTTATTTGATAGACTAGGACGTCGAAAACTTCTCATACTTGGCGCCTTTGGTATGGTAGTTGGCCATTTTGTAGCAGCAACAGTATTTGCTACAGGTTGTGGCGTAATCAAAACTATCACCAATGACACTACAATGAATCATGAAATTGTGAATTGTGAAAGAAGTTCTGGTATATTAATGCTTGTCTCTACAACTATTTTTGTATGTTTTTTTGCAATTTCTTGGGGACCAGTCGCTTGGATTTATGCAGCTGAGATTTTCCCTCTTAATGTTAGAGCTAGAGCTGTTTCAATAACGACAGGAAGCTCCTGGTTTAGTTGTGTCATCATATCATATGCACTCGAGTTAATAAATCCATTAGGAATACATGGAGTATTTTATCTTTTCGGTAGCTTTTGTTTATTGGCCGCAATATTCGTATATCTTTTTTGTCCAGAAACGAAAGGAGTTTTATTGGAAGATATTGAAGAAGAATTTGATAGTTTTCAGTTGAAAAATAGAACAATAATAAAAGTCTTGCGAACATTATGTCAGGGGAAATAAAAAGAAGGAATAAAATCATTGCTATACCAATGCAATAATCATGTACTTTGTTTGATGCTCCTTGCTTATTCTGAATATGTCATCTTTTACTTCTCATATCTTGATTTCATGGTTTGTTTATTCATATAATGTTATTCTTTACTTGTTATCTCCTTTCTTTCACTTTCTTCCACAGTGACTATTTATCGTTGATTATTTTGTCGCTTACCTCTTCTCTTCTCATATTTATATTATCTTTCTCTCGCTCTCTCTCGTTTCATATATAAGGCAATAAATGAGGTTTCAACGATTGATTCTATGTAGGAAATAAATCTACTGGAAAGCGAAGGGCTGTAATCGAAAAAGAAACAGCGAGACAATAGGGGAAAAATTTGAAGGAATGGGAGAGATATAGGGCTCCTAACTTAAGTCTTATGCCCTAATCATACGAAGATGAGTTCAGTTTGCATGAAGATTGGCTAAAACGTACGATAAATTTTCATTTGAAGTGGTGTCGCTGTGATTTTTTGCTCTTGGAATTGTTTGTTGAAGTAGGAATGTTGAGTGTTTTTTGATTGTGAAACTATTGGTGGTATTATGTATATATTCTATGGATGTGTATGCGGAAAATCTCAATACTGCCCTTAAGGTTTTATTTTGGATAATTTGTATCCGTTTCCAAATTTTTTCGTCTGATTTCAAGAGAAGCGAGAAACCATAGGTAATAATTGATCTAACTAAAGATTTAGATAGATTTATCATTATGTTGTTGTTTGAATTTGAATTTAATTTAGACAGAAATCGAAGTAGACTTATTCCTGGTGCTACACTGAAAGAAAAGGTATCACACGAAACTTATGAGGTTTCGCGGCATTTTACTATACCTTATAAAGTATCGTAGGACACGACAACCTTCATAAAGTTTCGAAATCTCCGAGGTTTCGTATAAAAACCTTGGTGGCTCGTCTGAGCCAAAAAGGTTTCGTAGTATACCTTCTAAAGATATCGTAGGTAAAAGTTTTCGCATAGACGAATCCTCTGTTTTTATGTCCAGTATGAATAGATATTCACTAATCAGAAAGGGTGGGTGTGGCTGTGGCTGTGAAGTGCAGAGACAGCTGCTTTGAAGTACTACACCCACATCCTTTTGTCTATTGTTCTGTCTAATTGTTGATTTATTTTCTAAAAGATTCGTCTCTTACAGATTAAGTGAGAGTTAAAAACTTGGCTCTTTGCTAACTGTTTCGGTATAGATACTCTAATATCAATTGAGATCGAGTCACCATATAATTTAACTACTTTCTTTTAGGCGTTTTTTGTGATGTTTGAAGAATAAACCAAACGAATCAAAGAACAACTACTGTTGTTTCTGTTGTTAATATAATTGTTGATTAAAGATTTTGTTATATATGTGAGATTTATTCAGAGAAAATCTTGTTATACATGAATATGAATTTTGTTTTTATTTTTTCAAAAAGAAAAACAAAGTCTTGATGAAATTAATCATTAAAGAAAAAAGAGAAACATGATAATTTTCTTTAGCGTATAATTATATCATATTATAGATAATAATTAAATCCAAAGAGAAAATCTTGATATTTGAATATCATATCGACTATTTGGAAAACGTGTTTGAACCATTAAATGATAAGGTTCGACTTTTTCAGGATCAATTTTGCCATAAATATCAAGATAAACAAATTGTTTTAATTGTTCGACTAATTGACAAAGATCTTGTTCAAACACAATAACATGTTCATCTAAATAACAACAATTTTATTAAATTGATTTTATTCTTGTAGGAATAAATATATTCGAATTCCATACTTATAGATTCAGGTGTACGTAGAGTTTGTCTCCATTGTCTCATAAAATTTCCAGATAAATTTCCAGAACTAAAGTTCGGTCGAACTCAAAGAAATAAAAAAACAAAAATGAATAAATATTAAAGAAACATTTCTAAATTCAAAAAAAAAGTTTTTCATTTTTCTTTTTCAAACAAAAAATATAGGAAATCAAAACGTGTTTTGTTCATCTTTTTTGTAAAATCTTTCAAAAGAAATAGTCTTATTTAATAGAAATTTTTAAATGAAATAAAAGTCATTTGATACATTTTCATAATTACTTTGACTAAGATTTCAATTCATTTTTTAATAAGTTCAAACAATCAAAAAAGTAAATAAAAGTTCTATAAACATTAGATTATACGTTTCACACATTATAGCCATATACTGTTGTACAACTCACTGATATCGTTCGACAAAAACAGTCAATAGAAATTTAATCTAAAATTTTGCTGCTTCTTGTCTATATACTGTAGCAGATCAGAATCTAAGATCAATAGATAAATATCAAGAGTATCCTTCCATTTTAGCAACTAGGACTCAAGACCAAGTAATATATAGTTCTCCGACCTTCCTTACACTCTTTCACTTTCAGAATAACTAAGCAGTAGTTTAGTAACAAAAGAATTAATAGATGGAACATCAATAGAAAGAGAAAAATATGTATTCGAAGCATAGAAATAAATAAAATAGAGCATTTCTGTAATAATTATACTCTCTTTGAAGACGAATTTATGACGAGGGAGAAACAATAAACTTCAATTCTAAAGTCTCATGAAGTCTTCCAAAACTTTTGAAATACGTTTAGTCCACGAAAAATTCTCTACAAAATTGAATTTTTTAAATACTGTTCAAGGTATTTTAAAACAAAGTATCATAAAGAAAACGTCGTATAAAGTTACCTGAGAGCTCTCAGAGTTAATTGTCTTATCGTTAGTTGGAAATTCAATGGTTGCTTAATGAAATTGTTTATTTCTGTAGAGAAGTGTTCCATTAATTTAGTATCAATTGTATAATGGATATTAATTAATTTTGTTTTTATTTTTCAAAATACTTTATTAGTTGATTATCGACTAGTTTCGTCTATCGATAATCGGCAAGTAGTTTGCTCAAATATGAGTTTAAATTTATATTTTATATGATTTCTAAGTTTTCTCAAAGTCTGCTGAAGTCTGAAGAAGTTTTCTGACATCTCGCAAAATCCTACGAAATATTTATAAGTCCAATGAAGTTCCATATAGTCTCTGAAGTTCTCTGTAATTTCATGAAGTGTTTAGAAGTCTTCTAAAATCTAATAAAAGGACTTGATCAATAAAACATCAGTTTTTCTCCATTCTGAAAACATTATAAAATAAAAGTATCTTAATAGTATTTAATTTTCAACTAAACTTACTTGATGTCCAAGGAAAATCATCTGGTCTCCAAAGACGTAATGTTTGTAAATAAGGCATATAAGTATTCAGAAAAGGTACAAGATATTTGCCAATCTGAATTGAATCATTTTCACCAACATTACAACTCGAAATACCAAATTCAGCATATCGAACAGTATTTAATGCACTTTTTCGCAAGTAATGAAAAGGCTATAAATGATATATGATAATTATTTTATTTAATTATATAAAATTTCTTCGGCAATCAACTTTATTTTATTCAATTTCTTTTTATTTATATTATTTTAAATAAATATACGTTTAATTTAGAGTTTAGTGAATTAATTTGTAAAATGAAATCGAATTCGATTGATATATTCTAATCATCTCATGAGTCATTAGATTTATTTCTTATTTGATATTATTATAAGATTAGAAAAAAAATCTAGTTGGAAAAATTAGTTGAAAAATTCTAACAAACAAAATAATAAGATTTTCAAATATTTAATGATCTGTTTGTCAATTATATATTTGAAAAGTTTAAATCAAATCAATACTTACATATTGAACAATATATAAAAGCCATTCAAATTTTTGAACAAAAAGATATTTAAGTTGTATAGGCATTGAAATAAGAATAGTAAGTAGTCTGGCACGTTCTCTATCTTGATATGTCAATTCTCTAGAAGGACCTAGAAAAGTAAATCTTGTTTAAATTCTTATTTATAATAAGAACATATAATTTTAAACATCAATATAAACAAGGATTGATAGTTCTACAATGAAGGAAAAAGTAAGACTTCATTTATAATTTCAACGGTGCTTCGAGTGAACAATTACGCTACTAGATAACAGTAACTGATCATTTTCAATTGTAATTCACTTGTAGTTGAAAATAAAATATCATTTTTTCTTGGTCCAATTTCACAATAGTATATTTTCGTAATATGCAATTTTAATGAAGTAATGAAAAATAAAGAACGAATTATATTATCTCACATTCGCTACCCTCTTTATCTAGTCACTCTCTCTTCTTTTATAGATCGTGATAGACATTTTAATAACATCATCTCTTTTCCGTCTTCATAAATGGCCATATGTCTATGAAATGAAATTCTACAACAGGGATGCACCAATTACAAGGCGAAAATCAGAATTGAAATTAATGCATCCCTACTCTACAACGTAATTGTAATAATATACTAATGCATTTTATAAAGATAAACTTGATTCTCTTAAGGTGTCTATTGCGATTAGTGAGATTTGAATAAGAACTAAAATAACTTTTTTTTTCATATTTACTATAATGTCTTCTAATCAATAATTTCTTTGATAATGGACATTTCATGAAATTGAAAAGAAAAAAAAATAATTTTTACGTACCAATACGACGACGAGAACAATATCCAAATCTAAGTTTTGTAACATTTCGAAGTTGACTATCATTTAGATTTTGTTGTCCCATTTTGAATGGTGTTGTCAATGATCGCACAATATTTGGTTCAACGTCATAATTTCCTATACAAAAGCAAATTTATTCATTTTAAATAAATACCATTTAACTTTGTTTCTATAATACTTTATTGAAAAAGAAGATATCAATTGAATCAAAACAAACTCTATTCAATTACTTTGTTCCATTGAATAAAATAATCAAATATAAAAAATATCAATGTTATTTGAAGATATTCACTAGAATCATGTAATCCAGGTAGATTACATGTCGGATCGATATAGTCCAAACATGAATCAAAGTACAAAGTCGTCTAATCGAATCAGATTCAAACAGAATTTTGTATTTGCTATTCGGAGACATCTGATCGAAATATTATACTATTTGGATGAAACCATGGGGTTTCCTATTTCTAAAAAATAGTTTTTTTTTCGATTTTGATATTCAAGCTAGATTTATCATCGTCGAAAACAGTCAGAGCTAATAATAAAAAAACTTTTTTAGTACATAAAGTTTGGAGATCTATGCCATTTTTTAGGAAGAATTCAATGTAATTATTTATAACAGGGATATATTTATGGGACTTTTATCAAATTATCCGTGTTTGTAGAGTTTCTGACTCAAAGCATTTGATAAAAGAAATTTTCAAAAAATAAACTTTGTTTTTCATGGAAATAGACTCAAAACATTATAAGTAGTGAAGGAAACTACTAGAAACAATTTGTCGAAATTATGAAAAAATATTATTTTTGAGAGTTTTTGATTTTTCACTGCCTATAGTATTCTGAGTCTATTTCTATCAAAATGCTTAGAATCAAAAGCTCTAGAAATACGGATATTTTATCATTCTGGAGCGTGATGGAAGTCCTATAAATATATCCAACGATCAATACATTGAATTGTTCCTAATAAATAGCATAAATCTTCTAGCTTGATGTACCAGAAAAACAAATTTGTATTATTAGCTCTGTCTGTTTTCGACAATGATATGTTTAACTGGAAAATTAGATAATTTATTTGAATTTTCCAAAACTTGTTGGAATTTTCATTATATTTTTCAATGTAGAATTTTCTCAGTTTCCTGTCGGGCAAATAAAAGTAATGGAGATATAAAGAAGTTGAGCCAAGTAAAATAATCTCTGATAAGAAATTGTTAACGATCGATAACAACTATATTATATCATTTCCTTCATGTGATCCACGACGTCTGTAAAACATCTATACCTCTAAAATTAAATACTCGTTGGGTGAATGCACATATTAACGAAATCAATTCTTAAAAAGGGTCTGATCATTTCATATCATTCAGTTCAAATCTTAAAGTCTGACATTCATAACAGCCACATGTGAAATAGACATCACACATTTTTCATTCTAATCAAAAGAATCCATGAAAGAGCACAAATATCAAATACTTTTTCCTTTGTGCACAAAGAATTTCACACACCATTTACGTTTTCTGACCATTCCAGATTATTCCTTTATCTACTGATCAATAAATATTAAAATCTACGTGGAACAAGCAAACATCTTTATATCTTCATCATGTTTCCATTGTATAAACCTATTACTCATTAACACAAAACTACAAAAACAATTTAATGCAAACTTTTACATATCCTATCAAAAATACCTTTTTTTACAACTTTAAGTAAGTGTACACACACTCTCCGTGCTTCCAGTACAGATTGAATCCATATTTTAATAACTCGAATTTTCACGCCACTGTTTCGGTAAACACATAAATCACAATACATTTCCACGAGCGTCGCTTGCACTCTTCCTGGCTTGATATCCTCTGAATGTGCGTGGAGGCGTGTATTCAGATCTCGACACCCTCATCTGGCGAGGTGTCCTCCTGAGTGTGTACACATGTATGTTAAGAGCTGGTGGAACTCTCAACTGGGGGATACTTTCTGAGTGTGTCACTATTATCTCTAAGAAAGAACCATGAGTATAGGATGTGTGCTCGTTTTGGAAATTCATTCGAGTTTTCTGGGAACTCAAAAGAGACATCATATGAACTAGAATATCAAAATCGAAAAAAAAACAACTTTTTCCAAAGTGTAGTACAAAGTCCATGAATTTTCCCATTTATTATTCAAGTTTATATTTAAATAGGAAAATAAAAGTGACAGTACAGTTTCTTGAATATAATCAAATGTATGACAAATACAGTTATCTATCCTAATAAATGAATATTTATTGTTGTTAGAAAAAATATTGATGTACATATTCACAATTATAACATTGCTCTGTCATTACCTTTAATTCTATCGTTGTTACATCCTTTACAATCGATTATTCTACAGAGAAAATATTAAGATAGATGATTCAAATGATTGTGAAAAACTTAATATCGGTAAATGAATAATTCTTCATTCTCATACGATCCGATAGACAAACTGTTTCAAATATGATCAGTTTCTACTGCTAAATTGGATAATAAGTGTCAAATTAATCAATAAAACGTCTATTCAAACAAACATCTGATCGTCAAAAATGAAGAATAACCGAACGAGAGTTTAAATTTATAGTTATTGGCACAGTTTTTAGATCATAACAAAGCAACTAAATTTTCTAGCACTTGATTCATTCCGTTTTTCTTCATTGTTTCAAGTTATCTCTTTTATATATTCAACGAAATTAAACTGAACATTTTTTTGCACAAAATAGAAGTTTTTCAAATGACGAATATAGTTAACTCAGTTCAGTTGGTATTAAACTATCGAAAAACTTTTCAGTCTGATTTGGACTAGAAAATTTCTATTTATGAAGAATTCTTCTGTTCACTAAGATTTATTTTCATCCAAAATTAATAAAAAAAAATCAATATTTGGAAAAGTGAATGAATGTTTAAACACTAAAATTAGATCAACTTAAATAAAAAGAAACAAAAATATGTAATCATATTCATTGAACTTGATTACTTATTGAGTTTTGCATTGATCATCAAGTCTGTGAAGATCATTATGAAATATATTGGAAAAAAAATTTACCTATATCAATTGTCATAGAAGAAATATTAGGACATAATTCATCGAAGTGTTTGAGAAATAAATAAAATGATGGATGAAGACTATTTTGAATATGTTCAATATCAGACCATTCATATATATATGGATGCTTACTTAATAAATAGAAAAATAATTTCATAATAAAATTTTCATAAGTAAAGACAAAATCTCTTACAATAAAAGGATAGAACGTTGAAATTTCTTAAGATTAGAAGAGAATATATGTTGATATGAGGTATTTTTATCATAAAAACATTGAACATTTGTCCATTGATGATCAATAAAAAAAGAATTTATTTTAAAAGAATTAATTATTTTCGAAATATTATTTAATGATGAATGACATTTTGCACAAATATAAAAATAAAAATATTTTAAATTAATTATTTGATCAGGTAAACAATATTGACGAATAAAATTTGCATCAATTATAGATTTCCATATTAATTGATCTGCCTTCCATGTATAATTACTATATAAATGAATTTGCAGTTTTGTAATATGATTTAAATTATTAAGAAGCCATTTTAAATAAGTAAATTCAAAATCAGTATGAACAAAACTTTTCAATGTAAAACTTTTCAATCGTGGTACCTATTTTACAAATAATTAAATTACAATTTTCAAAAAAAACTTCAACTTTATTCGACAAGCAAAATAAAAAGGCAATTATTGAAAATAATCTATTTACATTACTTTATTCTCTTCTTTACTTTAGTTGAACAATTTTCAATAATTATTTCAATTAGATATATCTCTAATGTCAAACTAAATCATCGAAACGCATCACTTTATGCAATGCTTTTCTCTTAGAGATCACTTCAAAAGATCCATTTTGTTAATTTTACATTCGATTTATCCTTACTTGTATTGAAATTGACTATCTGATTAATCAGTCGAGTTGACATAGAATAGTTCTTTTTTATTTTTCCTTTTTTTTACATTGTTTTTAATTGTCAGTTTAGTGAAAATAGAAATTCACTAAGAGAGAATCCGAGTTTTTTATCATTAGCAAAAAGTTAATAGATTTATAGAGCAATCACTTCTGAACAAAATCGGAAAAAAGTCGATTTTTATTATGAAAAGATGATTCTAATGATAAACTTATTAATGCAGATCTTAAAAAAACTCAAATGTCTCGTTCATCTTTATGAAAACTAATACAAAAAACTAGTTCTAATAGACGATAGTTCAACGAAGGAAAAGCGTCATTTCACTTTTACTTCATGGATGTCACAATTATCCTTTATTGAACTTCATAGATCTTCCAACAGTACTAGAAACTTTATATGAATTAGATGAAATATTGCTTTATTTTTTGCCTTTCAACAGATGCAAATCTGTTGGGATCGATTAGAATCTAAATAAACTAATTAACAAGTTGAAAAATCCGACTCAAGGATTTCTTCTCGTATCGTCTTCTAATTAAGTATGTACGAGTTGTAGAAAAGTTATCAATGATTGATTTTTTTTCTCCTACAAGAAACTCGAATATTGAGCAGTCTGCTATTAAAACTTGTTTGCTTTTGTAGGCTCAAATTTAAATAATAAATACATAAGGATCAGTCCATACATAACTCTAATAAATTCTTCCGGATCTCATTACGTTTAGATCTATTCATTCCAGGATCTATCTGAATCTAAGAGAATCCAAAAGCATTCATTTCAATCCACTATGAGCTTTGAATTTTCAATTCGCTTATTTCTCTCTTACATTGATAATTAAAAAAGTGCTAGCAAAATATATCATTTAACTAAAATTACATCATGTTCTTTACTTGACTGTCTGTTGATCAGATGATTCGACATTTTTCTTTATCTTTTTTTGTTTATCAATACAATGAATTATTAACGAATGAATTTTATCGTCTTTTGACGATTAATTGTTGAAATGTGCAAAAATCTGTTCAAACTTCGACTCTTTTCGTATTGGTATCGTTTAACAATCATGCACTTTTCATATTACTCGATTATGATGTCATCAAAGAGAATCTACATTTTGCTTGCAAAACTACTTAATTTAATAACAAACTTGTTGTCTCGATTGGAGTAACATCATTCATAGTACCACACTTGGCGCATTGTTCAAATGCAAAAAACGCTTAATATGAACTAACATTTATGTATGAGATAAAATTTAACTAAAGAGTTTTACAAAGACCCAACAAATAGAATAATCTAATATACATCTTACTTTATTAAACCAATTTCCATTTGATAGTTTCGGTATTTGAATATTTGAATCAAGACGATACTTATCGATTAATGAATTGCGAAAATGAATCGATAGTTGTTCGAGATTGGGCACATATTCAATGAGATGTTCAAGAAAACAGGCGTACTCGAGATGAATAAACAAACGGCGTAAAGTAATACAATAAGATTGAGATTCATTAGAAATTTTGTTTGATGAAAGATAATCAGGTGAATTTAAACTTTGATGAATTTCATAAGACAAATTGGCTATATCGAGTTGAAGAGAAGTTAATTGACATTGATTAGAAAATATTTGACATAAAATTTGTTTAAATATACTTTTTATCTTTTCTATTTAATTATAAAAGAAAAAAACAAAAAAAAAGTCATTTGTATCATTAGAACATTTCAAATGTTTTCTAGTTGTAAACGCTACCGAAACACAAAAGTAGAAAAATAATAAAACAAATCTTTTTCTTCGTTGTATTAATCAAAAAGCAGATAATTCTTTGTAGAAATATGCAAATAAATATTATAATTAGAAAAGAAATTGATGATTAATATATGCGATATCAGAGTATGAGGCCGTAGGGCCATCCATCTATCTATACATAATATCAGGTCTCTGTACGTCTGTTACCGGATGATAAGTTAAATGTTTGAGATCATACGTTAAAGGAGAAAATAGCCGTGCAGTATGCACGGAACCTCGCTAGTAATAGATATTTACTCCAAAAGAGAAAGCTTATATAGATAAGTGAACAAGGTTTTTGAATATATTTGTATAGTTATCAGCGTCAAAATAACAGAAATCAGATAATATATCCTAGCAAACTGAAATAGTTATAAAAATAGTAAATTCTCTTTTGTAAAACACGAACTAGAAGGAGTGTTGAAGTATGAGGTTAAAAATTTGGACCCATCCTTCTCCTTCCACCGACCGTGATAGACACCTTAGCAATGTCTCCCTTCCATCACAGATCATGTCAGACGTCATAGCAATGCTCTATTTCAGACTGTGACAAACATAACCTCAAAAGTGGAACTTATGGTATATTTTATAAATTACTAAAAGGGAAACCCAGAAGTTTATAGGCAAATTAACAACGTCTAGGAAAATATTGATTTAATTTCGACTGATAATTGGAAGAGTATCGAATTTATAGTCAAGTGACTAAAATTGATTTGCTAAACACCCTTTCTATTGGTGACAGCAGTTATTTTGTATTTTACATATTAATCCCTACAGAAATTGCGCTAACAGCTTTTTTCGTAATTATTAAAATCTATTTTGAAACAATATGAAAATAATTATTATTCAACATATAAATCATTTTAAGTAATCAATTATCTTTTATACAATCTCAAGATCTATCAATGACAGTTTAGAATAACCAACCTTCGACGATGGTCGATTTTGCTTTCTTCATAAAGATAGTTGATATCATCAAAACAATTGCTCAACAAATATCTTTCATATAGTTATGCATTCAATAAGCGCCTGATAATTGATGTTTTATTCAAGTTACTGCTTTTAAGACAATGATGCGCAATTCCAATAGGACAAACATCAGTTTTTGGATCTCATCTTGACTGAGACATTACTGACAATTAGCGACTCATTCTCATCCTCTAGTCTCTACTGTAGAGAGACTTTTACTTCCAAACAATAAAATCGAATCTTGCTCATAAAAAGATCTGTTAAATGAATTGTTAATTACCTCGATCAGAAAGGATTGATGAAAGTTCGCGTCCATAACCAAAAGTTTCATATATATCTTCATCAAATGTTAATGTAAGTTGATTTAATTGATATTGAATAAGAAAAGATAATGTTTGAATTAATGATTGAGATAATAAACATCGACTTATATAAAGTGATTTAAGATTTGGAAAACAAAGAATTGATTTATCATTATAAGAAAAAATATCTTGATAAATTAAATTAAAACAAATTGAATTTGTTCCATCAAAATGAATATATTTAATAGAAGAACGAAGAGATAATGAATTAAATATTAATGGTAATAATATTTTAGAAAATTTTTTATAAGATAAACCTGGTTTATTGAAAATAATCCCAGTTTTATTTATTTCAAATATTGAACAAATAAGATTATCAATACGTTTATTTAATGACCAGAATGATATTAAGACTTCATCCCATGAAAAATATAAAAATATATTTAAAAATAATTCATTTGGAAATATTTCTAATTTATTTCTCATTTTATCTAAAAATAAACTTATCTTTTATTTTATTCAATTAGAAATCATCATTTGTTTATTTTTTTTCTCTTTACATTTTTTTTCAACGTAAAAGAAAAAGAAAACAAATAGTTCTTGTCATATTTATCTATTTTTTTTATACATTTTACTCTGCCCTCTTATATCCATCGTGCCAATCAAAGAACCAAACACAACGAACGAAATTTTAGCAAAACTCTTCTATACTTTTCTATTGACAAGGAAGATTTGACGGTAGATGTTTTAGTTAACATAGCATTTGCTCTTTATTCGTATTTAACAACTAATATCAACAATCATACAGACGAGGAAAAGTTTTCAAGTACGAGTGTCCATATTCAACCGGATATATTACAGTTTGTAGAGTTCGATAAACTGAACACGATGACATAAAGCGTTTTCTTCCATAGACTGTCTTTGATGAGTTTGATCGATCTCAATTTTCAAAGAAATCATTGTAAGTTATTACTTGAGAAACCTCAATTTTTATGTTATTTTAGGTCTCAATATTCGAAGCTTTAGCGTTGGATGCTCTTTAATCGACTGTACACATCAATATAATCCATTCAAATGGAAGCGTTAACTATGTTCATACTATGAATATTTCAATACCATTGCCCTTGGGAATGTAAGAAATTCAACTGTTTTTTTATCAAAATTCATTTAGTTCCATGTAAAATACAATTGTATGTTCAGCAACGTAGGACATACATAAAAAAAAACCTGTTGATCCCATTTCAAATATCTGCCTTATGTATTGCATTTTTTCAAATAAATATACAAACAAAACAAAAACTAAACAAAATGCAGGCTCCTGGAAATGAGATGGCTAATAAGGCTTTAATTACCACGTCTTTCGAATAGTATTTTCAGAGAATCTTAATTAGGTTTTGAAAAAAAAAACAGTTGAATTTCTTAGATTCGCAAGGTCAATGATATTGAAATATTCATAGTATGGCCATAGTTAGCACTTCCATTTAAGTTGATTATGTTGATGTGTACAGTCGATTAAGGTGCATTCAACACTAAAGCTTCGAATATAAAGAACTAAAATAACATTAAAATTGAAGGATCTAAAATAATAGCTTACAATGATTTATTTGCAAATTGAGATCGATCAAACTTCTCAAAGACAGTCTTCCGAAGAAGAACACTTTATGCCATCGTGATCGGTTCATCGAACTCTACAAACTATAATATAGTCGGCTGAAAATGAAGACTCACATTTAGGGACCTTCTTTCATGAGACGAATCACATGAATAAAACTTCAATTCGACGATTTTTTTCTGTGTTACAAAATAAGATAAAAGAGACAAATTTGTCCGTTTTCAATTTCTATTTAGAGTCAATAACAATTCGAAGATACTGATAAGGAAGAATAATCGAAAAGCAGAAAAAGTTTTTCTAATACCTATTCAAGAGAGTGACACTTTATTCCTTTAACGGATCCTTCTCAGAAACCAACTTTGTTATTTTTTCATCCGATTTCAACCAAAATTTCAGAGAATGTTAGTCTTGGCTAGAATAGATTATGGTTAAAATATCTCCCACAAATCTTAAAGATATGCACAAGGTCTAGTTAATTCATTGGTCAAAAATACCCTTGACGCGAGCAAGGTTTTCAACATAAGGATACTAGCTAAGCATGTTGGCGTGGTTTTTAAATTGTAGAGTTCCCTTAGGGCTAGATCCTCACAGGACCCGATTTTTGAATTTTCTTTGTTTATTTTTTAAAATCTTTTTCGAAAAATTCACGAACTCATGCCCAAAAAAGTTGCTAATACAAATGAAATATCTAAGTTTTTTATTTCAGCAAAAGAGAAATTCAAAAATTGGATTCTGGAAGGATCTAGCCAAAACTGTCTACTATATAATAAAAAAAAATTATCACTTCTCTATTGAGTCGTTATTAAAAAACCTTGCCTACGTAAACGGTATGCTCGAAAAAGTTGATTTTGAGAAAAACGCTAAACAAGTTTTAGAAATTGATGTTTTTTTCATTCAATTTTTTTAGATTTTTGCGGAACATATGTCAATTATATATATAGATCATTGTTCAGGTGAGGCTAGAAATATATGATCTTTATCTTAAGTGTTAGGAGTCTCGTAATGATTAATATAAAAACGCTTCGGTCAATGCTGATGCCATTGAAACGGCAGTTTTTTTTTAACTGAAAAACTTGAAAAAACCACGAAAAGCATGATAGTCGGACCCAAGTTTTAGCCGATTAGTCCGTCAAAATCAGGTCATTTTGTGAAAAGCTATATGTATTCTGAAAGAGGAGAGTTCGGTGCATCTTTCTATAATAACAACTCAAGTTCGAGTTTTCTTTGAAAAAATAGGTTTGCTGAGAGGGGACCCCCTTAAGAAAAATTTTTAAAAGGAAAGCGACTATGTCCAATTCTCCCTAAATACATGAGAGGAATAAATGACAACAAAAGTAAAAAAAAAATAATTTCTGTAAGAAAACTACATCAGTATTACTGTTTAAGAAAATGAAAAACATGAAAATTACTTATCACTGAATAATTCTTGACTGAAATATTAAAATGAAAATAATTCCGTCTTGGTTATAACAAAGCAAGTGTTGCTTTTAAAAGTATCTTGTGAACACTATAAAAATAACGTAAGAAAAACAATTTTCCAATAAAAAACATTTAAATAAATAATAAACTTTTTTTTGCTGAAAAACCTTTTCTATATAAAGACAGAAGAAGCAATAAAATGATTTTTGTCTCTTTTACATTATTATACTAAAAGAAAGGATGAACATAAATTCTATCAAAGAATGTTCAATGTTTAAATGTCAGCATATTTTATATTTTAGCCTGCTGTGCACGCGAAAAATGTATCTTCACTTATTCTGTTTCTCTCAAAACGAGCAAATTCGATGAGAAAGTTCATATTCAATGAATATGACGGAATGTTCACCGACCTTTTTTTCGCTCATCCATATGTTATTGTTTATTCAATTTTTAACGTCAAGGAAATAGAAGAAGAAAGGAAATATACAAATAATTGAGAACGTGTAACAAAAGAAACAACTATCTATAGTTTTCTGTATTCGGAGATTTTTATTGAAATTTCCAGTAACATTGTGTAAATTGTATTGATACATTCAACATGTTACAATTTTTATTTTTTATACTATTACAAAATATTTTTCTAAAAATAAATTTTCGTTCAAAATTCTTTCCATAAATAAAGTTTGATGAATGACGTACGAGAAGTTTGTATTGGGGAACTTCGCAAATAGTGTGAACACAATAAGAACGGATATGCTAGCAGCATTTTATACCGATCTTGTTGTCGTTTTCAAGCATAATCAACTGCTGAATACAATCATCATATTCTTGATTTCATGGTTTTACAATATTCATAGAGCTTATCAAGTGAAACCAATGACTTTTTGACAAGAATCGAATGAAAAAAATCATTAATATGGAAAATATCTTTTATTGATAAGCGATCGATTGAAATTCAAAATCTTATCAATAGAAATATCAACTGTGATTTTATTTCAATGCAGTATTTTATTTTCTGCCAACATTGTTCTGTGTCTTGTATATAAAATTAATAAATTGTTTTTTTGTATGAATGGATCATTATTTCGAATAGATCAAGGCATAGACAAGATTCATCGTGAACTTGGCTGATATGCAAATCCTGCACATTGTCGTTTTTTTTTATAAATAGAAAAAGGAACTTTTTCTTCAAGAAATTATTGTTAATTCCTAGATATTTTATTTCCATAGTATTAAAATATCTAATATAATTAAATAGAAAGTCGATGAGATTATAAACAGTTACAAAATTATTCTTTGAAAAAAGTTTGCTGTTTCTGATAATTTTCGTATTAAAAAATGAAATGGAAATTCGTTATTTAACCAAAAAGTCTTACGGTTTCAGTATGAATGAAAGAAAATGAAAATCACTTTCATCCCGAGATTAGCTATAGATGTCTAGGAAAGGTTTTTGCTATACCTGAACCCTACCTTATTATATGCTTGTCTCAGCCTTACCGTACCCTTTCGTAAAGAACAGGATAACCTAGAACATCCGTAGCATCAATATTTGATAATCAAGAAAAGATCTTGTATCAATTCTATCCTTATAGCAAAGCATGCAAATAAACAGATTAAATTAGTAAAAAGATTCAAGCGCTGTTCTTTTCATTTTTCTTAGGGACCATTCAAGTATTACGTAATCAACTTTAAGGGGACAGGGTAGTTGCGTAGCCAGAAAATAAAGCTGGAGGGGGCTCAGCCCCTACGGACGTACCGAAGTTCTAGACACAAAGGACAGTAACAAATTTTGCAGTAGTGTTATAAATTTATTTTTCGCTGCTCTTCTTTTCAATGATTTTTTTAAACAAACATCGCGCAGCAAAAACTTTTTTCTCTTAGTAAAATTTATATTTTTTGAAAATGAAACAATTGTAGAAGAAATAAACATTCATTATTTGTTGCAGAAGGACATGACGCTGAAGACGGTAGCTTCTTGAAACAGAATAAAAATGATTGGCTCGAAACTGTACAATTCATTCGAATAGGAACTCTCGATTTTGGAGTAATAGGCACCAAACGATGTCATTTATTATCTTTGATTGTCGAAGCCACTCAATAATTAATGACATCCTATTTCATATTCAAAACTGAAATGAAGAGAAGAAGCCAGCAAATCGAAACGTTACAGAAACGATATAATTTGCGAAACGAAAATTTTTAAAAATGCAAGGAAACTGTGCACTGCACTATTTTTTAAGAAATATCTCTTGAAAATCTGAACTTTTCTCGGTTATAAATGCTCGCGAGCATTTGGGTGTGGGTGGGGGTATGGGGTGTGGGTAGGTGTGGGGTGTGGGTGTGGGTGTGGGGTGTGGGTGGGTGTGGGTAGGTGTGGGGTGTGGTGTATGGGTGGGGTGTGGGTGGGTGTGGGCGTGTATGCGAGGGTGTGGGTGTGGGTGTGAATGGTGTGGAT